TTATAATATTAATTGTTCTCATTACACTGAAAAAAATTGATGTAGGATTTACTTTAAAATAATTTTCACTTGTGAAATTGATAAGTAGCCTTTTTAGACAGAAAGACTGAAATAATATTTTGTAAATGTTTTATTTATTTATTTAGGTTTTACAGTGTTTAAATGTAGTCTTTATACATGAAAATATATTGCTACCTTTTACATTTTAGAAAACGGGTCCCTATATTTGGGGGTCCGTGGCATCTTAAAGACTGAAAAAAAAACCTTGTCTCAGAGTATCCCATTTAGTCAAAGTATCCCAGCTTTAGTCCGAGATGGATAAATATCCCTCCCTTTCTGCTCTACAGCAGTGGTTCTCAAACTGGGGTAGGCGTACCCCTGGGGGTACGTGAGATGACGGTGGGGGGTACGCGAACAAAATTCTGAGTTTTGGCATTCATTTAATATCCCAACTTAAAGCAACATTAAAACCGAACGTATTTCTGACAAGCAAAATGCCGCTTCTAATGTAAAAACAGGAAAATGGGAGTGTCGTAAACGGTCAAATACATCCGATCAGCTTACCTCATTTTTTGCAGTCAAAACTGACTGCATCCACACAAGCAGCGTGCATGTGATAGGATGGCCGCTGAATATGCTGCTTTAGCAAATCGCGCTGCTGTTCAATGTATCTTTAAAGTAGATCTTCACTTAATAGCATGAAGAGCAAATATTGACACGCACTGTACACTGAGATCGATTTAAACTCTCCTCGATAAAGACACACACTGTGCGTGTTATTGTTTTCATGTTTAAGATACGAGCAAGAATGCAAATTTCCCTGAATATCCAAACGATGGCAAATGTGCCATTAATTTTTACAACAGTTCAACAAAAAAGGTAGTATTAAGTGAACATTTTACATTTTAAATGTAGCCTACATTTTTAACAGAATATTGTCATGTTTGTTCTATTTTGCAACGAAATAATAGTTCCAACGAAATCCGTATCATCTCCAAGCATCATACAGCAGTGTTTCGTTAGTGAACGAATCTGCGGCTTTGAACGATTTGGAGAGTCAGTGATTAATAACCCATTCATAACTACAGCATTTGCTTCAATGCTGAATGAATGAATGAATGAATGACGCGACACCTGGCTCATTAAGACAGCGACTTGCCGCCACCTATTGGCTGTTTTATTTTTAAATCTACAAGTATCACTTCGATTTGCCATCATTTCTTGCTTTATTTATTGTTTATTATTTATTATTTATTAATAATACACTTAATGAAATGTTAAGAATATGACATAAAACATGACATACAATTAATAAGGATAGAAAATATTTGCCTCCATAAAGGTAAAAAATGCACCTGTAAATCAATTTAAGGGTGCAAATATTGTCCTTTAATAGAAAAGGTGTGACTGCGGTCTAATTGGAAGAGAGGGGGTACGCAGAAGAATGTTAAATGCCCCAGGGGGTACGCCGCTGTAAAAAGTTTGAGAACCACTGCTCTACAGAATGGGGACAGAATGTTTATTTGGCATTTCCAGAACTGTCAGAAGTTACTGGCATTTTTCTGAAGCATCGTAGTTCTGTTCAGCAGTCGGATTCAGGCTGTGGGATCGGGCTTAGGGCCCAAGCATAAGCAGCATAAGCTTCCAGATATTTGTGGAGTGAACAATGGTCATCTGACCATGTGCACAATTCAGAGTCTGTTCAATATGTATGTGTATGCCCAGCAAAGCCTTCGTTCCACTGAATACTTGTGATGCATTAGATTCAGTAGAGAGAGCATCTACGCCTCAACTCATGTAGAGGTTTGAATTCTGAAGAGAGTTTGTGTGCAGGAGTGTGTGCATGTGGGTTTGTTCCAGGGGCGATTTTTGAGCAGTGCCTCCTCAAAAAAAAAAAGTGAAAGTCATTTATTATTGTACAGCCAAAATCATTTGGCTGTACAATAATAAAAAATAAACAAGTACATTGAAATATGAGATTAAATAGCATGTAAACAACTAGTTTTTCTCAAGTGACACTGTCCAACAGTGACATCAGCGAATGAAAGTCTTGCTCGATTTGATTAATGCTGTAAATTATTCAAGGCAGTGTTTCAGTCTCATTCAAATTGATCTTTTTAAAATACTGATTAAAGAACTGATTCATAAGAGTCGTTTAAGCATTAAATGGAAGGTATGGGAATAAATTACTTTTTTAAATATACTAAAATAAACTTTTTTCTTTTTTTAAGTAATAGTTTAAATTTATATTTCACAATATTACTGTTATACAGTTTTACTGTAATTTTAATTTAAAAAAAATAAAATAAAATAAAATCCAGCATTGGTGATCATCAGAGACTTTTTTCCCAATGGAATTGGAATATAGAAGTGGAATTCATAGAAATAGACTACAGTGGTCATGTTGTATGTGTTTGATTCACTAAAAAAGAACCAGTTCATAAGAGTCGTGTGTTTGTGAATCGGACTATTTTGTATGTTTTGATTCACTAAAAAGAACTGCTTCATAAGAGTCATTTGTTCATAAAATGGAATAAGGCATAGGAATAAATTGCATTCAAAATATAATAAAATAGCAACTTTTTATAAAATTTTCCATTCAATTTTAATTTTTTTTTAGTTGTAGTTTAATAGATTAAATTATATTTCACAATATTGATGTGTTTTACTGTAGTTTTGATCTAATAAATGCAACATTGTTGAGCATCAGAGACTTCTTTTAAAAATGGAATTGGAATATGGAAATGGGACAACACTGATCATGGTGTATGTTTTTGATTCACAAAAAAAAAAAAAATGTGTTTGCGAAACGGACTGCACTGATCACATTGTATGTTTTTGATTCACTAAAAATAACCAATTCATAGGAGACGTGTTTTTATGAAACCGACTACACTGGTCATGTTGTATGTTTTTAATGTATGTTTTTGACACTAAAAAAATTTGCATTACAGTCATTTGTTTGGGAATCAGACAACACTGAAAGTAGTTCAGTAAAAGTTAAGTCTTGGGAGTTTAATAACCAATGTTGAGTACAAATAGAGATTGTGAAGATTTTTTTCAACTCAGCGGTAGTCACATCTGAATCCAAATTAATTTGAAATAATATGTTTTTTTTTGTTTTGTTTTTTTTTGCACTGCCATGGTGGTCCCATTATTTGAAATGCACTTCATTTGGGAAAGAGGACAGGAAGTCATTAAAAACAGCCTGGACCGCAAGTTCTTTTTTCATTCCAGCATTGGCCTGCCGCTCTTCCTGTAATGAACCTCATTATGTTCAATTACCTCAGAGATGCTGCTGTCCAGAGGGAGCTGCACTCAGACCTCTGGGAAGCCGCGTCTGAAAACACACGGTCAACACACAACATCAGATAGGCTGTTTTATTACAGCTACGAGTGGCCTCGCTGAGGTGTGTAGGTGGGATGTTTGTTTGGATACCCGGAGTGTGCCTGCGTTGTTCCACTTTCCACTTCCTTTAAAGTTCCTTTAACATAGTAATTGGTGTATACAGCTCGATGTGGCTGAGAGCTTTAACCTGCTGTGATAGCATAATGAAATATTAAGACAATCATGACTGCCTTTGTTGATTTTTCTAGCTGAAAATAGTGACACTACTCATTTTTTATTAAATAATGTAGCTTTTCCTGTAACACAGTTCATTTTTCATCCACATAAACACATCCAGTTCATTTTAGTGTATCTGTTTGTTTGGAGATTTCTTGTAAATGAAATAATTCACTGACTTGTTTGTGTCCTTGTTTGTTTATATGAAATAACCATATATATTATACAATATCCTGGTTATTTTTTGGGTCAGCTGCATATTATCTCAGTTACAGTTACACAATTTAAAAGATATTTCCCTCTTAAATAACTTCAATGTACATCGTTTTATTAGTGGTGAGTTTTGTTTTAAAAGAGAACCTTGACTGTGGTTAAACTACTTTAAATGAGTATCTGGAAACTTCGGAAGCTACAGTTTAACGGACTATTCTCTAACACTGCTGTATTCAATTTAAAGTTTTCAGGTGATATGACAAGGCTAACGGCTTAGGCATTGACCAACTTTTTTATTAAGAGAGCTTTGAAAGGTCACACTGATGGCTGACCATGAGGGTGTGTTCTTTCTTTTCTCCTGAGAAAAAAAGATCCATAAAAGCTCATCGGTGAATATTCCTGGAGGTTGTTACAGAGCGTCAATGAGGCTCAAAATCTCTGAGTGAGTTTTATGGAAAGCAGAAGGTTAGAACTAGTGACCTTGTCTCCGTTGATTAAACTGTGCCGCCACATGGCGGATATCTTATGATCTGCCAGACTTTTTCCTGGTATAGTCATTATCATTAAACAAAGCATGTTAAAGATGCCTAGGGAATTATGGCCTGTTAGCCTTTGACCTTTGCATTAGCACTTTGACCTTTCCATTAGGCCTGTGTGATGATGGACACTAAAAGGTGTAATAACTTAAACCGTATCCTTAGGCCTCTTTTGCACAGAGGTCACAATCATAATAAGTCTGAACTTTACTTTTATTCATACTCGACTGGGTAAAGAACCTGCAAATGTCATAAATAGCGAGTTTGTAAATGAGTAGGTGAGCTCAAGCATGTGTGTTTCAAATCGATGAATGCTCATTCTGTACACTATTGACTGAAATTATGTTAGATTTGAATCCTGACTGATCCATATTCCATTTGCCCTCTGACTGAAAGCCATCGTAAAATAATTTTTCCCTGCAGCAAAGAATTGATCTTCATTCTCAGCACAATATTTGAACATAATCATGGAGTGAAATGTTCACTTTTTTCAAATTAATTTTTAGGTTAAAATTGCAATTTGTTGATGTTTAGGTGCATCCACGTCTTGTTTGTTGGTCAGTATTCATGGGTTAAAACTTGTGGTGGTTTGGAGAAGTCACAGAGAATCTGTCGCTCTTGAGTATGGCACATGCTAATGAAGGTGTCATAATTAATGGTGCTCTGTTGATTGTTTGTTCCGGCAGCGCTGAGAGATAACCGGATTGAGCTGGTCCGAGCCACGTCGCAGGAGTTGACGATCAGCATCAGCGAGGTCACACTGGCAGACGAGGGGATGTACACCTGCTCCCTCTTCACCATGCCTGTCAAAACAGCCAGGGCTTTCCTCACCGTCCTGGGTAAGACATCATTTAACACATGATGTGTGTGGGATTACATCCTAAATCAGCCAGCTGAAGCGTTAAGTTATTAAGCCTTCATGCGTTACTTTCCAAAATTTCACAAGCCAGTTTTGTTCACATTAGTCCTGAATTCGGTGTAGTCTATCTACCTTTTTAAATGCCACTTTTGCAGTTATAGGCCTGCATTTTTATTGAAAACGTTTTACTCAGTGTCTTTAGAATTTAAAGAAAGATATTTATTTAAAGCAAAAAAGTTTCAATGAATGTTTATATGTATACACACACACAAATCAAACTGCAATCACAAATCAATGCAAACTGATCAAACATGACAGTAAAGATATTTATATTTATAATGTTACAATTTTTTCTATTTCAAATAAATGCTGTTCTGTTCTGTTCATCAAAGAATCCTTTATATAAAAAGGGGGGAGGGGGAATAAATAAAATAAAATGAAATAAATAAATGTCACATCTTAACTGCTAATATTATAAAATGCTTCTTGATCATGAAATCAGCATATTGGAATAATTTCTGAAGGATCGTGTGACACTGTAGAGTGGAGTAATGATGCTGAAAATTCAGCTTTGCCATCACAGGAATAAATTACTTTTTAAAATATATTAAAGTAGAAATTAGTTGTTTTAATTGTGATAAATTTTTAGAATATTACTGTTTTTACTGCATTTCTGATCTTTTTTTTTTTCTTTTTTCAAAAACTTTTTTTTTTATCTTATCAACAATTTTGAACACTAGGATATGGATGGGTGCATTTATTGAAGGAGAGAAATATTGCTATATTGTTACTAAATGTGTGCAACCAGTCTGCACTGGGTTACAGTGAGACCTTTTGAAGGCAGCTACACTGAACCATTAACAAGTCTAAAGAAAAAGACCAAATTTGTCGTTTCCAGAAAGTAGATAGATAATTAGAATTTTACCTCAGTGGGGGCGTTGCAAATCTAACTTTGGCCTGGATCAGGATTTAATTAAATGGATTCACCCGGTCGCCTTCAACAAAGACACAGATGATCACAGAACAGTGTTGAGAAATGACACAGAAAGAAGTTTAATTAGTTTCCTCTATCAACTTTTACTATACTTTTGCCAATCAAAAGTCAAACAGACTTTCTATCAAGTCCCAAACATACCAGAGTTAATGTCAGCTGTGACAGCCCACAAACAGTACTTAATGCCATATTTCTGCATTAATTAGAAGCCCAATTAGCTAGTCTCATTTTAATTAGTTGGCGTACACCATTAAAATCATTACAGTTGTACACTCTGTCAACAAGCCTGCATTGCATTCATGTTTTGCTCATTGTGAATACATGAATGGTTACAATTAATTTACATGTTGTAATTATTATCTTGGAAAAAATAAGCAGTAATATACAGTACACAATGTTTATTTATTAATTAAACATGTTGTTACATATGCTGTTATGGATATTACGCATATGTTTGTCACATATATAATGGATAATGTAATTTTTACAAGTACAACATTTTTCTGAATCAACATTTTGAATCTTGATCCAGTAACATGTCGATCGATCTCTAAATTGCAGATACGGCAGATTAGCGCAGTCTGGCGTACTTTACTGGGACTGGACAGCGTCACTGCATCTGAATCGACTCTTAAACTATCAAAAGTGTGCTGGACTGGACTAAATGTCGATTAGAACACTGTTCTCTGTCGTTTGATGAATTACAGCTGCCGCGATCAATTGGAAATGTGCACAAACATTGAAATACGACTCACCAAAGTGGTGCGAGTGCGAGTGAATTTCACCCTAAGTGGTTTTGTATAAAACATTTGTGTATCAAATACCAAGAAATGAATCAATCAGAAGCGACAGCTTGGCATCTTCAGGTTTTTCTTGATCTTGGGACAATATTTAGAAACAGCACATCATCCAGTGGAGGTTACAGGCCACGCTGCAGTAGAATGACTGATGTATTTACTCTGTTGCTTTTTAATGCATAGTACATTGTGGTTGTTTTTGCTTTGATTTATTTCTTAGGAATGTGATTAAGGCCTCTTACTCAGGGGAGCAATAAGGCCTGTGAACTGAATGCCAAACGTCTGATCTCATCTTCAATCAAAGCAAACCCAATATCTAATTTTCCTGACTAATGTTTCCTATTGATTTTTCTTTGTCTCAGCCCGCTACCTCAGAGAGGAAGCTCCTGACACAGTAATGTATTTGTGGACCACAGAATTTCCCGTGTGCTTGAAATATTTCATAAGATTGAAATGCTGATTGCTTCATTTGAGGTTCACCATCTTTGTGATGGTGGTAGGATACATTATGACCATTGCTTTGAATCAAGTCACATGAATCGTTTGTATGTTATTATTTGGCCTTTCATGTGTACATAAACCATCAACTAAATGCTGGAGAGGGAATGCAATAGCACATACTGTGTGAATGAGCCTTTTAACAGATTGACAGCTCAATTTAAAAATGGATTGCTGTGGATTGTAGGCCATTGACAGACTGATTTTTAATTATTATGTTTTATCTTCATTTAAGCAAATGTTGATGCACTACATTTCAAAAGTTTGGGGTCAGCAAGATGTAAAAATAATCATTTTAATAATACTTTTATTCAGCAAAGATGCATTAAATTGAGCAAATTATGACACTTTTACATGGATAGATAGATAGATAGATAGATTTGAAAAATATCAATTATAAAAACAACCCTAAACTTTTTAACAGTAGTGTATATGTGATTAATTACATTTTAATTTGATTAAATAACCAGCATATGTAATTAATTCAATTTTAAATCTAAAATAGTTTAGACTAGACAGCCCTAGTTATAAAATCTATTTTATTGAAGATACTGTACTGTTTTTAAATTCTGCAATAATATGATCAAATAACCACTGAATAAAGGGTCTAAATTTAAATTAACCTCATTGAACAACAAAAAACCCCCAGGCAAAATAAAAGAACTGGGGTAGCTCATAGAAGATGATAAATAAAATATCTCCAATCTTTTTCCATTAAATTCACGCTTACCTACTGTTCATATTTTGAACTCACCAAAGTGCTAAGCCATCTTTCTCTCTTTCTCTTTCTCTTTCTCTTTCTCTTTCTCTTTCTCCTCGATGTTTAGGTGTGCCTAAGAAACCAGAGATCAATGGACTCACCAAGCCTGTGATGGAGGGAGATCAAATCACTCTGACCTGTGTGACCTCTGGCAGCAAACCTGCGGCTGATGTCCGATGGTTCAAGAATGAGAAGGAGATCAAAGGTGAGGAAAGTTGATGGAATACGATTAAACTCACATTAACACTTATAAGCCAAATCACAAAGACATTTTACTGCAAGTAAGTGCATATTTTAAGACTACTGTATGTTCAGTAAAATATGCAAGTAACCACTCATGTAGCATCTTCTCCACAAATCCATCAGCATATAAACAACATCCCCTCTCAGTCAGACGTGAAGAGAGGGGATAAAAACATGCAATGACAGCAAGCGAAGAATTCTCTAAGTAGAAACTCGCTCTGCCATGCGTACAATGCAGATGGCATTGAGTGTCTTTGTCGTGCGTTTGCAGCACTTCTAAAAATACAGCGGTTCTAATTAGCAACGAGGCGACATTTCCCACACTGACTGATTATTGTGTCTCCGGTGGACGGAACCTTGGGGAGAGGCCTTTACAGTGAAACCCCAGAGGATGAAGCATGGCTCAACGCTTTTTATGTCTTTGCAATGACTTTGATTAGCTTGTTTATCTGTACATTGCTGTATTTAGTATTAAGCGGCTATAAACTGTATTTAACCATATATTTAATGTACATTAATAATAACTCAGGGCAGCAACAACCCTAATAGGCGCATACACAGAATACGTTTTTCACTGCCTTGCTTTTCTTTTTCTATGTAACCATGCACTAGTTTATTTATTTAATTTTTTTGTCAGTGTATTTTTGTTTTGTTTACTCACCCTATTGAACATTGTACTGGTTGCGCTTTTCTGTGCGATTACATTACAATAAATGCGTACCAAAGCTTTCATGCTTCAAAAAGGACGTAAAATCCATACGACTAGATTTGTGTGATGGACAGATTGAAATCTAAGTAAATATTCACAGATAATTTTCCCCTCCAGTGAGCTGTTAACTTCTGCGACCAAATCAAGACCGATTTTGTGATCCAGATCAACCAATTAATCTGACTCACAAGTCGTTCATGAGTCAGACATCACTACTCTCTCAAGAACGCACTGTACCAAGAAAACTGTATGCTTTATACATACTTTATGGTTGTTTTTCAGTTATTTTGGAGCTTGAGGACCATGTTTTTATTCACTTGAAAAAGTCACCTTTTGTGCTCCACGCAAGAAAATAAAGTCTTACGGAAATCTTAAAATTATTTCCTCTTAAAATGAGGAAATGTTTGTTTTTGAGGTGAATTATTCTTTTCATCTATTACCAAGAAAGAAAGTAATAAGAGGAGTACCTAAAGTCTGAGTGAAAAAGTTTAGCCTCTTATCAGTGTCTAGTCAAGGGTTCTTATAATTTTGACTTCGAACGGGGATCCTGATTAGGCTCCTTATCAGATATTACGTCTGCGGTCAGTCCCTCTGGTCATTTGATAAACAGACCGAATTTGTGGGTAGGGGAGGATTTTCAGAGCTTATTTCATTTCATTAAGGGATCAGTGATGTTTCAGATGAGAACGGCAGAAAAGTAAGCTGCTTTGTTTAAGATTCCTTTAAGAAACTGATACCTGATCTCCTTGCATGTGACTCAGGCTCGCTGTAGTCACAGATAAATGATACAATCTTCGTATTCATTAACGATCTTGGTGTTTAGGTTAGATGTAGATCTATTCTTTAATTAACAGTGATGTTTTAAGGCAAGAAAATAATAGATTTGTATACAAGAAAACATGCATTTAGCCTTGATAGATGTGAAACATTTTGAACAAAACTGCAATAGTGGTCATTTCTTCACATTACTCCAAAATTCCGTTGTTTTCTTTTAATTAGCTGTGATTGTATTTGATTAATTCAGCAAAAATTTTCTCCAGCCGTGAGGTCAGATATTAATATGACCATTAACACTGAAATTTTCGCTCTCTCTCTGACTCTGAGACCCCTGTGTTTTGTTGTTTTGTTTTTGTTTTTTTGGTGTCTTTTATACGGTGGCCCTGTTTTGCACAACACAACGGAATTGCCACAACACAACGCATAGGACTAATTTCATTGCGTTGTGGTAATTTTGCTGTGGTATGGCTTGTTTCCGTTGTTTTGTGCTAATTTCGTTGTGTTGTGCTAATTTCGGTGTGTTGTGGCTTGTTTTCATTGTTTTGTGCTAATTTCGTTGTGTTGCAGCCAATGTTCCCTCTAATTTTTTTTCTTGCTCAGCAAAAATGTTCTCTATTGGGCGGACATTTCGGCCACCTGAGCAAAAACATTCTTTATATATAATGAATAGCAAAGTTTACCAGACCTGTACAGCGCGCACACAAAAAAGTGTGTAACTTTTAACTTTAATGTGCTATTTATATTTGATTTGACCCTTGATTGTAACTGAATGATGCACATTTTAGGTTACCTGAGAAAACATTTTTTACAGTGCCGTGTTACTTACCAAGAAATTTTATTTTTAAAAAATCATTAAAAAAATTATCTCACACAGAATAGTTCAATTATTTATAATAATATAATATGATATAATGTAATATAATATAATATAGCAAATATGAAAAAATGAAATAGTTATTGCTGATGAATTTGAGGTCAATTATTTAGGCCTATAATAGAATATAATAGAATAGAAAAAAACAAATATTTTCAATAAATATTTTTAAAAAACGTGAATATGTGAATTCTTTTACAGTTATCTAAAACATCCCCATGTAGTAGAGCACACTACTACACTTGTGTGTGACTGTAAATGTCTCGGAGTTTTGTTACTGTTCTGTGCCCATCATCCGCTATTTCCACCACTTAATGAAACCACTCTTCTTTAAAACATGATGACGTTTTATTTCACATGTCATTGCGTTTGCGTTAGCTCTCGTGTTGAGCTATTTCGTATTCGATTCTACAGCGACTGATTCGGCGCACATTATTCTTTCTCTTTCTATGAAACCTGTTAACCGCATTCACCAGTTCTAACTCTGAATAACTCTAACTTGAACACGCGCAGCTTAGAGGGAACATTGGTTGCAGCTTATTTCTGTTGTGTTGCAGCTTGTTTCCGTTGTGTTGTGCTAATTTCATTGTGTTGCGCTAATTTTGTTGTGTTGCAGCTTATTTCTGTTGTGTTGTGCTAATTTCATTGTGTTGCGACTTGTTTCTGTTGTGTTGCGGTAATTTCATTGTGTCGTGGCTTGTTTCTGTTGTGTTGTGGTAATTTCATTGTGTCACGGCTTGTTTCCATTGTGTTGTGCTAATTTCGTTGTGTTGTGTTGTGACTTGTTTCCATTGTGTTCTGGCTTGTTTCCATTGTGTTGTGCTATTTTCATTGTGTAGCGGCTTGTTTTAGTTGTGTTGTGGAGATACGATGGAGGCCACCGTACTTTTGTAATGCAGGTGCAAATTATTATACGCAAGTCTGTAACAAAGACACATTTCATCCATCAAAAATGCTAGAACGGCATTACCCAATGTGAATTTTTGTGAGCAGGTGGTTTGAACGAGAAAGTAGCATGTGGTAAATATATTTAGATGCCACATGTAGCTTGTTGTGTGAACTCAGGAAGGGGTTTGCTAAGGTCTCTCCGACTCGCGTCAGTCCACAGTCTCATAAAGCCTGAAGTTTATGGGCTCTCAGTTGATTGCAAAGTGTCAGTCTTAGATATTTTCATCGTGAATGTGTGTTTTGATGGATGGATCCAATAAGGCAAGAACACATTTCAAGGATGCATTAAAAAGAGTGTACCCCAGAGGGTTGAAACACACAAATATAAAATCACAGGATGTTTATCATATAACATATAATTAGAACTTTCAATCAATTACTATTGTTGTTTTATTTTATATATATATATATATATATATATATATATAAAATTAATTTTGTTTTTTTCCTTGGGGAGGGAAAAACATTTTTTTACCAAATAACTTTGATTTGGGTTTTTTTTTTTTTTATATTCTATCTATCTATCTATCTATCTTTTTCTTTTTTGTCCCCATACAGTATATAACAAAATGACAACATATTAAAGCCCTACATAGAATAAAATACTGAAGAAAAAATAAATAAACAAATAAAAATAAACAAATAAAAAATAACAGTGAGGGATTTAGTAATGTGAGAAACTCTATTTATATTGTCAGGTTGTCTTAGTTTCTTTTTCTTGGTTTCATGGCAGAGAGGTGTAAGTAAACAAAAGGATATTGCTTTTCGGCTCTGCTCACTCCAATTCTTCAGTCTGTTGTTTTCCTGTAGAGCTTCTCTCTGTCTGCTTTTGTGTTTGCGGCCTTCTTGGCGCTGTGTTTGTGAGTCGTGGCAGCTGTTGTCATCGCGGTTTTCAGCACTTCTCCACCGCTGTGTGAGGCTGAACTGCGATAAACGCATTTATTTTGGAAGCCTGGACTGGGAATAGCAGTTGCATTATTGTGGGATCTCTGGGACTGTAGCAACGCTCAGCCTGGTATTAAATTTGTGCCAGTCTCCAGGATGCAAGACATCTCACACTTTCTCCCCCCGCGTATGCAGAGCCCAAGATGTGTTTGTGTGTGTGTGTGTGTGTGAAATTGACAGCTGTAATGGAATCTAATATCACCACCTCTCACATTCTCACATGCCCCTCTCTCTCTCACACTCTCTTTCTTGCTCTCTTTCTATCTCCGGCTCCTTATTTTCATCATTGGAGTAAAAATGTGCATCTGTTTATTGCATGTTTATTGCATTCAAAATAGGTCACTTGTGTGATTCAAGTAGATGGGTTTTTTTTGGGGGGTTTTTTTAAGTTCTTGTTACTTCATACACTACCAGTCAAAAGTTTTTGAACAGTAAGATTTTTTTGTTCAAAAGTGATGATAAAGACATTTGTAACGTTACAAAAGATATAGTTACATAAATATAATAATAATAAATATCATTTTTATTTATTTACTTATTTTATTTTCTAAAAACAAAACAAATTCTAATCAGTTAGTAAAACATGTACACTGTTCTATAAAAACAGACTTTACATTTTACAGACTTTATGTTTTTTGAGCAGCAAATCAGAATAATACAATGATTTCTGAAGGATCGTGTGACTGGAGTAATTATGCTAAAAATTCAG